GTCTCGATCTCCTGACCTCGTGATCCGCCCGTCTCGGCCTCCCAAAGTGCTGGGATTACAGGCTTGAGCCACTGCGCCCGGCCCTGATTTTCATTTGATATTAATGCGCTAAATAGGATGCCGTTAAAGAAAACCTAACTAGACATAGATATCTCGCTGTCGTCCCACCTACGTTCCTGCCTCAGCAGCACAACCGTTCTCACTTCTGAGTCTGCTTTGGTTCCTGCCCACCCGCGTACGCGCTCACAGACTCGTAACGTACACACGGCACTGTGCACTCCGCGGTGTTTACTAAACAGTGTGGCGCAAACATTTGCCACGTCGCTGCGGTCTTCGTAAGGACCGTTTTCATGATCACGTAATAGTTTGCCTGCTGGTGCGTCCTCACCAGCTCCTTCTGTTCTAGGACCTGCTTTTCCTTCCATGGCTCCTCCCAGCTCCTGGCAGTCTTTGGGGAATTCGTCCTGGCTGCCTCCGGTCACGTTGCCATCCAGATGCAGAGAAGGCTGCGTCACAGCCCTGCCCGCTCCTCTCTGCCTCCCAGGGTCCTGGACCCCTTCAGCTTCCTTGCCCCAGCCCCCACCTCCTTCCAAACTCCCTGTCTGGTTGGCAGCGGAAAAGGCACCAGGCCAAACCGTGGGACAGCCTCGGTGCACCTGGCTTTGAGATAGTTTTAAATACCTGCAAGTCGGCTCCTCCTCTGAGAGGAGAGTCTGCAGTTGACTCCTCTGTGTGTTTTGAGGGAGATGGCGAAAGGGGTCTGTGGGCTCTGCTCATGTCGCAGAGCTGGGGACTCGGGGCCGAGCCCTCCCTAGGAACCTAGAGTCCGTGTTCCAAGCCCAGGAGTGTAGCTTGGGGTGGGGGATGCAAAAGTGCGCCAGCCCCACCCTCGGCAGACACCACACTGTTGCCGCAGCCCTCACTGCGGTCTTGACGGCGTCTCTGCTTTCTGCTTATAACTTCCTCCAGCCCAGCACAGAGGGCTCCTGACCTCACTAGAGCAAGCGCCCAGTTTTCCATACCTCTGCCTTCTCACGAGCCAAATAATCAGTTTAGGGATGATTAAAAGAATATAATGGCCCGGCGCGGTGGCTCACGCCTGTAATCCCAGCACTTTGGGAGGCCAAGGCGGGCGGATCACTTGGTCAGGAGTTTGAGACTAGCCTGGCCAACATGGCGAAACCATGTTGCGAAACCATGGCGAAATCAGTATACAAAACTGATTTATAATAATAGCCAATACTTATGGAATACTTACAATATCAATACACCAGGTACTCTGCTGAAAAGTATTTTACAGTGGCTGGACACGGTGGTTCATGCCCGTTATCCCAGCAGTTAGGCTGAGGCGGGTGGATCACCTGCGGTCAGGAGTTTGAGACCAGCCTGGACAATATGGTGAAACCCTATCTCTACTGAAAATAGAAAAAATTAGCCCGGCGTGGTGGCGTGCGCCTGTAGTCCCAGCTACTTGGGAGGCTGAGGCAGGAGAATCACTTGAACCCGGGGGACAGAGCTTGCAGTGAGCCAACATCATGCCACTGCACCCCAGGCTGGGCGACAGAGCGAGACTCTGTCTCAAAAAAAATAAATAAATAAAAAATAAAACAGGGAATTGAGTTACCTGGATCCTCGCTGGAGTCCCAGCTGTACTTTTCCCCCAAGCGCCTCAGCCACCCACGCAGGGAAACAAGTTCAGGCAAAGCAGCCATGAGCTGTTCCTTTTTCGTTCGCTCCAGAGGCGCCCTGTGGGCCTGGTTCCCTGTGAATTTCCTGTTAGAGGCTTCGCCCTGCTTTCTCGTTGGAAGTCTGTATTTTGGGACGGGCGCGGCAGCTGACACCTGTAATCCCAGCACTTCAGTCCCATTAGAAGCTTCACTGTGCTGTCTCGTTGGAAGTCTGTATTTCAGGCCGGGCGCGGCGGCTCACGCCTGTAATCCCAGCACTTCGGGAGGCCGAGACAGATGGGTCACCTAAGGTGGTGAGTTTGAGACCATCCTGGCCAAAATGGCGAAACCCCATCTCTACAAAAAATTAGCCGCGTGTTGGGGTGCGCACCTGTAGTCCCAGCTACTCGGGAGGCTGAGGCAGGAGAATTGCTTGAACGCGGGAGGTGGAGGCTGCAGTGAGCTGAGATTGCGCCACTGCACTCCAGCCTGGGCAACAGAGCGAGACTCCGTCTAACTAACAAACAAACAAAAAACCTGTATTTCGGAGAACCTGCTTCAAGGGCTGGTGGAACAGAGAGTGTGTGAAGGGGGAGAAAGGGAAGAGGTGACTGTGGTCTCAGCCTTCTCCCCCAGGAGCACAGGGAGGTGGGTGGTGCAGAAAGCTGCAGGTACAGGACTTCCCCTGCCCTGGTTAAGACAGTCCCCATCCCAGGTGCTGTGAGAGTCCCAGCAGCGTCCATGGCCTGGCAGAAAGAGCAGCAGCGTCTGCAACAGGCAGATCGGGGTTCCTGTCCCCAGTGTAACCACTGCCTGGCTGGGTGACCTTGGGGGGGCACTTGACCATCTGTAAGGGGGATCCCGGTACTGCCCGCCTCGGCTGTGATGAGGATTAGCTGTCTGTGCCGTGCCAGCACCGGGCAGATGCGCCGCAGAAGCCAGTTCCGTTTCCCGCCCCTGGTTCATCTTTGGAGGGTATGTACTCGTCGGGGCTGTAGGCCAAGCTCATCAGGACCATTCGAGGGGGAGGCGGCCTGGCACAGCAGACGCGGATGGTTTCCCCCGTGCAGGTGCCAAGAACGAGTGGCTTCCTTGGGTCCAAGCTGGTTTCTGCTTATGCAGTCACACGGGCCAGCACGGCCGTCCCTGCACACTTCGTCTTAGGCTCTTAGGCGTCATCTGGTGGAACCGTTCCTCAGGGGAAGCCGCTGAGTGCCCCTCAGCAGCCAGGTCGGGGCTCCGTGTCCTCGCCCTGCCGTCCTGGGCCCCACAGGCATGGACTCAGAAGAGGCTGCAGCCAGGGTCACGAAGAAGGCCCCTTGGAGGAGGCCCTCGGAGAGCCCCAGGCGCTGGGCCGGGAAGTGCTCAGCTTTGCCTTCAGACTGGCTTCTCCTCCCTCTCCGTCCCCTATGCCTGCTTCTCTTCCACAGACCCACTCAGCATCCCACGCCGGGGCACATGCGGGCCAACCGCGGGGCTTACCACGGCAGCAGGGGCTCTGGTTTACCCCCGTGCTCATCACTGCCCGATCTCAGAAACACCAACTCTGGGGAAGGACCTTGCCGGGGGGACTTTGGGAAGGGCGTGTGGTGACGGGAGGGGCTCCTGTGCGGCCAGCTGTCCCTGTGGCGGCCCCCGGACCCGGTGTCTTTTGGGCCGCTGTCTCGAGACCAGCCCCCGAGCCTCGTGGATGGACACAGCTGGCGTGGACCCCGGCCTCGGGGGATAAAATGCAGCCGTGAGGACGTGGCTGGAAATGCCCGGGTCTCTTGTGTGGCAGCACGCGCAGCTCCTCAGGAGCGCTGTCCACGCTGAGCACATCCAAGGGGAGCCCCAGCGAGAGCCGACTGCGTGTGTGTGCGCGTGCTTGTGCTTGCGTGTGTGTGTGTGTGTGAGAGAGATGTCGGAGTGGCCGTCCTCGAGAGCCCATTCTCTGTGGACCTGCTCCCTGAAACATTAGCCACTTCGTCTCATAGGTGTGAACATAATGGATTCATTGATTCCGTTCAGAGGCAGGCACGCCCGCTGTGCCGGTGGCCGCAGCAGGGTACGAAACACGAGGGCCGTGTGTCTGGTACCTCGGCATCCCCCCGACAGGGAAGGAAAATGTCAGCGGAGCAAATTACTGACCGAATACTTGGGAATCTATAAATATTAAATTGCTCTGGCTTTCACATAAAATTCAGGCTCTGGGCAGCCCAGGAGGAGAGGCGTCTGGAACGTGCAGGGTGTGTGGGGGGAGCGGCTGCCAATGGAGAGACAAAGGTCCCTGAAGGGTGGGGCCCAGGCCGACTCTGTGGGCCGCGGCTGGGGGTGTGCAGCCCTGGCTGGAGGACAGGCTGCGGGGAGTGGGCTGGAAAGAACGGAGACGCAGAAAACCCACGTGCAGCTGTGACCACCATGGGGATTTCCCTGAGTGTTCGTGGAAGGCTTTTTGGTTGGGGTTGCCTGTGGTTTGCAGGAAAGATTTCTGTGACTTTTCTTCCCCAGCCCTGGGGAGGGAGTGGGGCTGGGGTGCAGACGGCGGAGGCTGCAGTCAGCTGTCGTCCTCTCTGTGCAGCCAGCCTCAGGTTCCTTCCCGCACTGGCCCTGCGCTCACCGTGGCCGGGCGAGGGCCTCTCCTCTCGCATCGCATCGGTGGCCACAGCACATGCACCGTGTGGTCACTGCACCGCCTGTTCCGTGTTTGACCCCCTGCGGCCGGGGAGGGTCTTCTGTGTCTTTGGGGTCTCTTTAGGAGGCCAGCAGTGAGCGATCGCTCCGATGTGCCAAGACCCTGTGCTAAGTTCTTATTTATTTATTTAGAGACGGAGTCTCGCTCTGTCACCCAGGCTGGAGGGCAGTGTTGCAATCTTGGCTCACTGCAACCTCTGCCTCCCAAGTTCAAGCAACCTCCTGCCTCCCGAGTGGCTGGGATGACAGGCGAGCGCCACCACGCCCAGCTAGTTTTTGTATTTTTAGTAGAGACGGGGTTTCACCATGTTGGCCAGGATGGTCTCGAACTCCTGACCTCAAGTGATCCGTCCACTTCAGCCTCCCAAACTGTGTAAGTTCTTTAACCGCGTGAACTCACTGATCTTTCCATAGCAGAATAAGGTAGGAACAACACCACCCTCATCAGGTTGTACCTGAGGACACTGAGGCCCCGAAATGTGAAGGTGACAGGTTACAGGCCCACCCGAGCGGGCTCCATGGCTCCTCCTGGCCAGGCCTGGATTCTCCCCAGGTTTTGTGACTTCAGACCTGGACTCCTCATTGTGAGCCTGTACCAGGTCCTTGGTGGGCTCCTCCGTGGTGGGTGGGACCCCGGCTGGACTCTGCAAGCCTCCTGCCAGGCAGGGCCTGCATCTCCCAGGCCAGTGGCCAAGCACCCCCTCTTCCCCTCAGGCATCCCCACGCTCATCGTGCTGGACCCGCAGGGCGAGGTGATCACGCGGCAGGGGCGGGTGGAGGTGCTGAACGACGAGGACTGCCGGGAGTTCCCCTGGCACCCCAAACCCGTGCTGGAGCTCTCCGACTCCAACGCCACGCAGCTCAACGAGGGCCCCTGCCTCGTCCTTTTTGTAGGTATGAAGCTCACGGGGGGGGCCTGGGTGGGGGCGGGACAGGAGAGGCCTCACTTGGGAGGAGCCTGACCCTGCAGCTTCTCTGTCACTAGCAGTGCAAGCCTGGGCCTTTGTCTCTCCCCGGAGCCTTGCTTTTGGCCCCGATGATTTATTCATGGCCTTGTGGGAGCTGCAGCTGCACTTTCCCTCCTAGCTGCTCCCCAGCTGCCAGCTGGGCAGAACAGGTCAGGCCGAGGATGCCCTGGGGACCCCATGCGCAGACCCATTGTTGGAAAGGGGCGGGTCGCACACACACAGCTGCCGGGGGCTGGTCCCTCTGGCCGAGGCTCACCAAGGCTGCTTCTGCCGGTGCTATGTGCTCGGGTGAGCTGCTCCCGCCCCGTGGCTGCCCTGGCTCCTCTGTCCTCGCCTGCACCTCCCGGTCTCCCGTCTCACCCACTCTGTGCTCCGAGGGTGACTGCCCAGCTGGGCCAGGAGGACACAGCCACATCCACGCCAGGCTCCCTGCAGTCCGGTGGGATGGCCCTGGTTCCTTTTGCAAAACCTGGTCCTCTGCCTTGGACTTAGGGCTCCCCTCCAACAACTCAGAATTACCGTATGAGGCTGGGCGCGGTGGCTCACGCCTGTAATCCCAGCATTTTGGGAGGTCAAGGTGGGTGGATCACCTGGGGTCAGGAGTTCGAGACCAGGCTGACCAAAATGGTGAAACCCTGTCTCTACTAAAAATACAAAAATTAGCCAGGCGCAGTGGCACGTGTCTGTAATCCCAGCTACTTGGGAGGCTGAGGCAGGAGAATCACTTGAACCCGGGAGGCAGAGGTTGTAGTGAGCCCATATGGCACCACTGCACTCCAGCCTGGGCAACAGAGAGAGGCTCTGTCTCAAAAAAACAAACAAAAAAACGCCACTGACCAGACCACAGTCCTCACCCCCTCCCCCTCACCACCAGTTTCACTAGGAAGTCGGAGGTCTGAGGTTGTGGCTTCTCATTCTGTGGCTGAGAGAAACTAGCAGGCGCCTCAGGTCCTGGCTTAGGGGAAGCTCAGCCTCGTGGGCGGGTTTGTGAGGAATTCAGTGGAAAGTCTCTGCCTGGGACCTCAGAGCTACTCGGTGGGGTGGGTTTCCCCGTGGTGAGCCTGGTGTAGGCGAGACCCTCTGCCTGGGGCCCCAGAGCTACTCGGTGGGGTGGG